CTCTGTCTCCAGCTCCTCCCCACCCAATATATCAACATTTTTGGTTAAACCAGATGCTGACTATTCTGCTGCATTCATTGTAATCCTCCCCATAAAATAAATACATGTTATAACAGACAACTGGAAGAAAGCAATAAGGTATTAAAAATTTTATTGCACAGGTGTACAAAGATTCAGACTAGAAAAAACAGTGGTGGGATGTTCAGTGTGTGCAAAGGCATTGGCACATTCCCTCAAACTAACCAGGCAGGCAAAGAAACTCAACTTTTTTCCTTTATTGGTTTATATGCAATCTGAAATCCTTCCAAACTGCACATCTATGCAAGCAAAGCAGTGAACACATTCCTAAGTACTGTTCACAGTTTGGGTCACTCAAAGATTTAGTGGGTGCCATCCTGTGATAAATAAGGGGGAGGAGGGTGGCTCCCTTTTATGGACACCCAGCCAGCCAGCAAGCTCTAAAGTCCCTCTTGGTGGCTGTTCTCTGCTTGCTTTACCTGTAAAGGTTTAAAAAAATCCCCAGGTAAAGGAAAGGGAGTGGGCACCTGACCAAAAGAACCAAGGGGAAGGCTAGAACTTTTTAAAGTGGGGAAAATACTTCCCCTTTGTGTCTATTGTGGTTCTCCCAGAAAGAGGAAAACAGGGCAGCAGTTACGCTGTGAGAAGCTGAAGGCCAGATATGATTTGGTGATTTTCCTATCTAAAACTACCTATTTAACAACCCAGATATGTAAGTAGATCAGGAATGTTTAGAAAGACGTGATTAAGTTTATTTCTGTTTTTTTCTTATGACTAGTGGACTCCCCTGTGCTAACCCCAGATCCTTTTGTTTGTTCGTAACCTTTAAGCTGAACCCCCAAGAAAGATCATTTGGGTGCTTAATTTTTGGAATCGCTCTTTTAAAATCTAGCAATAGCCTGAGTTTCAAATGTATGTTCTTTTTGTTCTTAAAAAAAGTAAATTTTATTAAAAACAGGATTGGATTTTTGGTGTCCTAAGAGGTTTGTGCATATGTTGTTTAATTAGCTGGGGGCAACAGCTAATTTCCTTTCTCAGCTCTTCTCCGGGGAGGGGTGAAAGAGCTTGAGGGTATCCCACAGGAGGGAATTCCGAAGTGCGCATTTCTCGGTTCCAAAAAGGGAGTTTTTGCATTTGGGTGGTGGCAGCATTTACCCATCCAAGGTCAGAGAGAAGCTGTAACCGTGGGAGTTTAATACAAGCCTGGAGTGGCTGGTATTAATTTTTAGAATCCTTGCGGGCCCCCACCTTCTGCATTCTAAGTGCCAGAGAGGAGAATCATCCTTGACACATGCACTCTCCATAATCCCCAACCTGGGAGAGCTGGGGAATGCAGTAGGTTGGGATGAAGTGTGGTTGGAATGCCCTGACAAAGCTGGGGGCTACCATGCCTGCCTGTCACCTGAGCCCCCAACCTGTCTGGCCATCAATCCCCCTTTATCCCTCTCCCCATAACCTCCCACCCATCACTGCAACCCAAACCTCTTCTCCCCCATCCTTCCCAGGAAGCATTCACATTACTAATTTCCCCCCCCCCCAAATACTCTGATTACATTCCTCCCAATATAAGGTGCCACCAATGACTCTCAAATTACAGCAACATCCAGCCACTCAGTTCAAGACTCCTTTTGCCTTCAGTGAGGGCTTGTGATTAATTTATCCTTAGTTATGTTAACTAAAGTTCACAGCCTTCAAGAGGTCTTATTAGAGCCATCGTTAGTACCTCTCAGTTCGACAGTACAAGGCAGCAGAAGGCAACCATTTTTGAGGAGGATCCTGTAACTCAGGAACCCCTTGGTCAAATGACCCCAAATTTGCGTCACAAACACTACCCTATGTGGGACACCACATTTCAAAGCAATCTGGATAACCATTTGGATTTTAGAGCACTTAAAGTCAAGCTACATAAAATGGCAGGAATGGCTGTTTTTCCCATGTATTGGTGCATGGATTTTACAACGTCTCCACTAGGACAGTGGTCTTCCAAGTGTGACTGAAAAGATTTCAAGAGTAGCTATACTACTTTGTGTTTTAGTTTGTTGTTACTTATTTCTCCAGTTATGATGGAAGCAAAAGCATTGAGATAAGAATGTGTCTGTGTTGGATATTTGATTGTCTAATAAGCTAGCACTCAATTTTTTTCATCCTGGAGCCTATTATCTGGCTCCACCACAATCGCTTTTTCAGCAAATTTCCCCTCAGCACAAGGTTCTCTTGACTTTCCCAGAGTACTTTGGGTTTACATTTGATGTTCAATAACCTCTTTTTCAAAGGTTGTCTTTGCTACACCAGTGAGATAAAAATAAGCATCTCCTCCAACTTCCATCCCCAGAAAGTTCTGGTAGTCCTCTCCCAGACTCAAATTGCATGTGGGCATGCATTTCAGTAGTATTAACAGGGAGGTCTACTATATAGAAATTATAGTGTCACCAACAACATATGAAAATCAGTATTGCCCACGTAAGTTCTCTTTATCAATAAAAAGACACCCCCCCCCCCCAAAAAAAAAAACCACACAGCTCTAGATTTATGAAGCAATGCTACTACCAATATCTGAGCTACAAACAAACAAAAAATTGTATTTATAATTCACTATTGCTCTTAGTTTTAACTCACCCTTTTAATACGATGAAGTTACATTTATCAATTTAGCTTTGTAGAAACAGAGGAAGAATGGTAGTGAACACAGGTCCACACTAATTAGACTGGATGAGGTGACAAAACTGCATATGAGCAGATATGGAAAAAAGGACTTAATCTTGATCCTGTTTAGATCCAAGAAAAATATTGAGAAACTATTCACTTCCTTTACATGTAGAAAGCAAACCGCATAACTGTATTTCCTACTTCTACATTTGTAATAGGAAAAGGTAAACGTATTATTTTTTCAAGTTCAACAGGAAAGAACAAGAACCAAGTTTTACTTATGATTACATGGATGCAACTCCCATTGAAGTTAGTGTGACTGCACTAGTGTAACAGCAACAAAGCAGAATTTGGCCTCAAACATTTAAGTTATTTGTGCTATTCATAACAGATTAAACTACAGGTATATGGCCAGTATGTTGACTGTATGGGGAAATATTCAATGCACACATGCATTCGCATGTATTTGTCTAATTATGTTGTGCCACTAATTAAGTTAAATAGGTAAGGCTAAATGTTAAAAAGATCCAATACTCATTTTATAATCTTACTTCTCATATTAAAATACTCTGTTTTAATAGGAAATGTATGATTCTATGACTGTTAAGGCCTATTGCAACTGCATCACTCAAAGTTATTACTGTTGCCTATATTATGTACTCTAAAAAGAAATATTAGTTCCTGCACCTTTTAATTTATTTAGTTACAATAGAATTTAAAATGTCATAAGATGTTACGTGTTCATTTCATATTGATCTACTTGTAATGCTGCTGCCTTTTATTTTGTTCCTTTATGGGCATCAACAAGTCTTGTGTATTAATCTACGGCATAAGAGGGAAAAAAAACACATCATGACTTTGACTGAACAGAATACTTCTATATGGCAGAAGTTTTAAGAATATGAATCCTAACTGCACATTAAGATTTTCTGTCAGGGTCTTGGTCCATGATTAGGGCTCCTAGGGCACTACAGTAATACAAATAAATAATAATATAATGTCAAAAGTTTGCTAAGCACTTGATAGGTAAAAGAAAAACACTCATAGCAAAGACCTTAAGCTCTAGATGTGGATACAGTAGGCTACCGCTATACCCATCCAGTAGGTGGAAAAAATTGATGAAAAAAAGATTAAAGAAACTATTTTCAAAGGAGGCTAGTACCTGCAGTTCCCATCAAAAGCATTTATCCCGGGACCTCTAAAACAGTCACCATATGGCTGCAAAGGAAGGCAGTGGAAGAATTGGGATTAGCAATCAGGGGCCAGTCACCTCAGGAACTGTAAACATGCATTTCTCATTGCTCGCCACAAGAGTTTCATGCACATATCTTCCAGGATGATCCAGCTCAAGGAAATCACTATTCCTAGTTCCATTCTTATTTTTGATTTTTGCCAAAGATCTGTGTGGTTCGGAAGAATTTAATCAACTTCTCCAGGTGCAGTATAATCTTTCTAGCCTCTTTAGAGGCTCACTTTTCTGTCTTGGAAGTTAAAATGAATCTCAGTGATTCTGATGCCACTCTCCATATACTGAAAATGGCTATGACTTTGGAGAAGCCCTTGGGAAGCAGCTGACTACTACATTTCCTATAGCCTGCAACTCCAGGAGGTTGGTGCAGGGATGTGAACAACTTGAAGAGCTCTTGCTCACCTCATACGGCAATTATTTCAGTAATGTCATCTTCATGTTTTTTGTGCATTAAGTTACAGAAACTGTCAGATATTAGTATAACATATACAAAAATGGTACTGGTATGGCAGATACTATCTATTATTAGTCCTTGAACTTAAAGAATGCTCATATGGAAGACAAATAGTGATACTTTGATACTATATAGCACTTCACTTCTCGACTCCTTTTCTCATTTACACAAGTTTGGATGTACCCATAATTCTTTCGGTCAAGGCACAAGTTGGTTGGTCTTGGAGTTCCAGTCCATTGCTCTTCAATCTTTTCTTGACATAGAGCAATCTTATTTTTAAGTGTCAAATACCACCTGAATTATGCTTTCCAATATCCACTCTACTCTCTGTCTTCGGTTTCTCGTCATTTGTTTCCACAAGTTATTCCAATAAAAAATACTCAGTGAGTTAGTTGGACATATAGTGAAAAATACTGCGAGGAGGACAGGGCAGATCAAAAAAGCCACATTATATCAGATAACAAAAGAATTTAAACATTTCGATGTACACAAATGGTATACTACAAGCATTAGAACAAGATCACAATTGCATCTTAAAAATTCTCAACTCAGCCAGCTCAAAACTGGAAACACTTTAAGTGATTAGGAGAGCAACTGTCAAGTCTCACTCACATCATTATATAATATGGTATGTCAAATTGCAAAAATAATCAAAGTAGGAGTTCTTCTGTTAAAATCCACATCGTTTTTATTTTTAAAGTACTTACCAAGATTTGTGTTAGGACCAGCAAGTAGTTGCTTAAATTTGTCTAATCTGAATGCCTCTCTTTCAGTTAGTGCCGGAGTAGCTAACGTATTGTCGTCTGCCTCTTCACCCTCTAATGGATCTGTTGGAGCATGTGGAAGGGACTGTGACCTCTGCATGGAAGAATTTTCACTAACACTCTCTACAACAGAAAAAGGAGAGTATTATTAAAGCCCCACTAATTTAGAGATTCTCTGGAAGTCAATTTAGGCCACCTGTAATCTGGTCTACACTATGACTCCAATCAATTTTAAAAATAGAATCTTGGGGGAATATCCCCAGGGTAGACCAAGCCAGCAGTCTCAACTGCAGATGGCTTCTTAGATTTAGGAGAATCAGAGTTTTTCCTCCAGGAGCATTCCAGGCCTCACAAGTCCTTCAATAGAGCACATCAATCTGGGATGTCATACCTCAAAGGTTAAGGCCCATTTAATTATTAATTGGACCCAACTATAAAGACCAATATACTGCTGAAAGCGGTCTTTCCCAACTGTTGCTGAGATTGTGGAAAAAACAAGCGTTATTTCAAAGACCACCATGCATGATATACAGTCCAAGTCAGCTGAGGTTGCACTGTTTCAGAGGAGTTCTGCCCTGCCCTGTGTCCCCTCCCCACCCCATCTTCTCCAATTTATCAAGTAGTTTTAAAACATCAGTCTTAACAGATAACAAAAAAATAAGCTAGATACTGGAAACCAAGAGTGATAAAATTTTTACTCTTTATAGGAATCTCCAAATTATATCTAAGCACTATATATAAACAAACTTTATCCTCACAATCCACGTGTGAGGCCCAAGAGAGTTCTCCACATTTTACAGATGAGGTAACTGACAGACTCAGTAAGGAAATATGGTGCAATTAGAAAAAGGGAGGAATGGAAATATGGGGTAGGTGGAACTAGTCTTTGACCTTTTCTTTTCATTAAACTTTAGGCTGTCTATAAAACAAAGAGTTTTAAAACCTTTTGTCTGAGCTGCATCTTAATTACAAATTTTACCCAAAAAAGTAAACATTTTATAACCAGTCCTGAAACCATCTTGATTCAGTTGACCACTTGACTAAACTCAAAGATCCAATTTAAACTAGCAATGAGGTGGTTTAACAGTTTGAAAACAAGAAACATCTTGTAACCTCACCCCAACATTTTAAAGCTTGTTTTGACATGCAATGTCCCTTTCATCAATTAGTGTCCACCATCAATATTTTTTCTTGGGATATTAAGCTTTAAAATCAACACTACAAGAGTTTAGCATTTTGAACCCTCTACAATTCAGACTTCCGCATCATTTTCATATCTTAACATACCTGCAGAACTTGATGCATGACTTTCACTGACTGACTTAACCAGCCTGTTGTCACCAAACGCCACTGAAGGCAATTCTGAAAATGGTACTGGTTTGTCTTCCTGTAGCTGTTCCTCCTGCAGTTTATGCTGTTCTTGTAGCTTGCTGTGATTCTGAATTACTTTGTTAGCAGTTTCCATGACTACATCTGTATTTAAATTTTCAGCTGCCATTGCTAGAAGTTCATCATCATCATCCCCAAGATCCCAAGCATCACTTGTGTTACTTTCAAATTCTTGGAAGGTACTGACTTTCTTCAATTTCACAGGAGTTACAGGCGGCTTGGATCCTGGTTTTATCAAGCTAGTTTTAAAAAAAAAAAGGTTAAGTGTGACTGGTTCATTAGCATTAACAGCATTAGTGAACAAAGTCAAGGAGTGGGGGGGAAAAAAACAGTCACATTTTAAATCAGCCCAAAGATTGTCAAAGACACAAGTGGCAGTTGGCATGTAATTGTAACTGACTTTCAGTGGGAGTTGGGCATCTGAACGTATGGCTACACAGAGGGAAAAAAAAAAACCACAGCAGCGAGTCTGAGATCCTGGGTCAACTGACTCAGGCTCAAGCTGAGCTAAAGATAGAAGTGTAGATGTTTGCACTTGGGCTGACAAAGAGATGGAGTTAAACGATGATGTGGAGCCCACAGCGGGGTTGCCCAGTGAGGCAGGCAGCCAGGAACAGTTTTACCACTCCAGAGGTGACTAGCCAGTTTCAGCAGTTGCTCTCTGGTGAACAAGAAGCAGAGAGGAGACGCCTGGTAAGTGGCTGTGGTTTGTGAGGTGCGGAGGTGGGTTCAAGGTATAGAAATGTACAAGGCTGCCTGTGTTTCTGTGTGCCGGACATTTCCTTGTGCGGCTAATCAATACAGCAGACCATGGTATTGATGCATGCCAAGTTCTCATGGAAACCCTCAGATCTCTATGAAACTTTCCTGGAGGTACTTGGCAATCCTCTGAGGAAGGTTCCTTGGAGGAGGTGCTTTGTTCCTTCCCCCATTGTAGGAAACTTTCCCGCCCATTCAATCACTTGTGCAGGGACCAAAGCATTACACAGGCGAGCAGCATAGGGACCAGGGAAGAATCCACAAGTGTGTAGTAGATGTTCCCTTGCTTCCCTGCTTACCCTCAGGAGTGAGATATGTGCTACAATAACCCCTGCCTGTAGAAAAGAGTGGGAGAATTTAGAATATTTTCTCTAGTCACTGCACCGCAACACTTCCAGAGTGCTCTTTTCCCCCATGTAGAGAGCCCTCCCACCCCAGCCAACACTCATTATGCTTTAGAGGTTTGCCAAGATGTGCGCTTGCCAAGGGTCAGGGAGAAAGTGATTGTAATGTTACCAGAGGTGTATTTTACTGAAATGTTTCAATGCTGTGTGTGAATTTAACAATCATGCTTCTGTGCATTGTTTCTTGTGCTTCTGCAGATGTGACCTTGAGGGACACCCCACACCCACTGGCAGAGCATCTCCGTCAGCTAAGAAAGCGCCCAAGATTGAGCAAAGATGACATGTTCTGGGAGGTACTGCAATTCTCCAATGCAGAGAAAAGGGAATGCAGGCAGTGGAGGGAAGCCAAAAGGCAAGACGGAAAAGAAAATCAGGAGTTTGTTAAGGACACTACTGAGCGGGTAATTCAAGTCATGGAGGAGCAAATGCAGATGCTGAAGTCCTTAAAAATGCTGAAGGCTGAGCAGATGCAGGCCTGCCCTCTCCTGCAGCACATTCAGAACTCTTTTCTGTGCCCTCACCCAAACTCCACCCGCACAGTCCTTTCCGCTTTCCACAAGTTCTGTTTTCCGTTCACTCCACCCCCTCGGACAACTTTCAAAATGATAGCTGGACCTACACACAGTTTTGAAAGTCTGCTCTTCCCTTGTACCTCCTTTCCCGCCAAGAGTGTGTGCGTTTGTGTGTTGTTTTTTCTGAAATAAAAGCCAAGTTTTGAATGATAATTAACCTTTGTGTCCTACAAATTGAGATAGCAAGCACTACCAAGACATACACAAGTATTTTAATCATTTGCTTACTGGAATTTAAGGCCCCAAATTTCACAATTGCTTCCTATGAAAATTAGATGCAACACTGCAGAACCAATCACAGAGATATACATTACTGGTTCTCATTTTCAAAATGGTGCCTCAAAGCCTCCCCCATTCGAATTGCCTCTCTCTGGGTCCGTCTGATAGCCCTGGTATCTGGCTGCTCAAAATCAGCAGCCAAGCGGTCTGCCTCAGCACTCCACCCCCGAGCAAGCCTTTCACCCTTAGCTTCACAAATATTATGAACATACAAAATGCGGCTAAGACCATGGGTATATTACCCTCATTGAGGTCTAACCTGCCATAAAGGCATCGCCAGTGCACATTTTATCTGCCAAAGGCACATTCCATAGTCATCCAGTACCTACTAAGCTTGCTTGTTTAACTGCTCCTTACTGCGATCCAGGTTTCCAGTTTAAGGTTTTATGAGCCATAGTTGTAAGGGGTACGGTGGGGTTCCCAGAATCACTATGGGCATTTCAACATCCCCCACTATAATCTTCTGGTCTGGAAAGAAAGTCCCCACTTGCAGCTTTCTGTACAGGCCAATGTTCCTGAAGATGCGTGCGTCATGCACCTTCCCGGACCATCCCCGTGTTAATATCAGTGAAACGCCCATGGTAATTCACAAGTGCCTGCAACACCATGGAGAAATACCCCTTCCTATTGATGTTCTCCGTCGCTAGGTGGTCTGGTGTCAAAATTGGAATGTGTGAGCCATCTATCATCCCTTCACTGTTAGGGAAACCCATTTCTTCAATGCCGCCCACTATTTCATGCACATTTCCCAGAGTCACGGTCCTTCGTAGCAGAATGCGATTAATTGCCCTGCACACTTGCATTAACGCAGCCCCAGTGGTCGACTTCCCAACTCCAAATTGACCAACCAACTGGTAGCAGTCTGGAGTCACAAGCTTCCACATTGTGATTGCCATGCACTTCTCTACCAACAGGGCAGCTCTCATTCTGGTGTCCTTGCGCTGCAGTGCTGGGGCAAGCGCCACACACAGTTCCAAGAAGATGGCTTTCCGCATCCGAAAGTTCTGTTGCCACTGCTCGTCATCCCAGACCTGCATGACAATGCGATCCCACATTCAGTGCTTGTTTCCCGAGCCCAAAAGTGATGGGCCACTGCATGCAGCTGTTCCGTGAATGCCAAAAGAAAACTAAAGTTGCTCCTATCCATATTACACACCATGTCAGGCAACTGGGAGTCTCGTTCAGTTAGGAACTTCATGAATAACTGCACTGCCATTCGCATTGTTTTAATGACAGTTATCCGAAGATAGGAGAGCAGTGAGGGATCCATCCCTTCATACAAAGATGCCAGGTGCACAGCAAACAAGGGCTGTTGAAAAATGCCATGAAAGAAAGCTGGAAGCCCATGGAATGCTGGGATGGAAAACAATGCATCTTAGGTAGGTACCCACAGTGCATTGCTCACACTATCAATGATACTGCCCCAACTGTGGACGTGCTCTGCCAACAGAGGGAGCAAGTGTGAACATGCATTACCTATTTTTATTATAGTGCTTTCCGAGTGTTAGCATAACTTTTGTTGACAAAATTCTGTAGTGTAGACAAGGCCTTAGACTTAGATCCCTTTCACATGATTCACACCCATATTTTCTTGCTTTGACTATTGAGCACTTCATTTCACAGCCTTAATGTTATACTAGCTAGGTCTTGCAGCTAGCATCTGTTTTAACAGGAAGAGACAAGACTGAAGTTATTTATCTTATTGAGCATGTTAAACTCCTTGAATTAGAGTGACATGACAGGCCTATGAAGTTTAGAAGCACAAATGAAGTGAGGTGTTCTTAGAAGCATCCAAACCAGACAGCATGTGCAAACTGCTCACTTTTAACATTCCTAACTTAAGAACTATTGGCCTAATTCTTCTCAGTTTTGGATTATGTATGTCTGAGGAAGTGACTAAGAAAGAATAAGGGAAGTGAAATTTCTAGCTAGTCATTTGACTAACCTAAAGATAGCTTTTGCCAATGTTAGCTGCCTTCACTTAGTAGCCAGCTGAAATTCTTCCCATTCTGAGGAAATTTTATTATTTTGTGAATAAATAAATCAAATTAATTTGGGCCAAACTGTTTGCTACTGAGGTTGTGAAGTGGATTCTGGAGTAGACATCTTCTGTTTTCTCTGGTTGCTCTTGGGCCACCAATGCTCACTGAGATAGGAGAGGCATTATAATATTTCATTCCACAGTCTCTTATTAGGATGTGTGTCACTCCTGGCTGGTGAAAGCTATAGGGAAGCATTGTGTCCAATATTGGTGGAGACGATCAACACCTCCATTAGAGAGAGTGTGTTGCCAGCTTCACTTAAGCTTTTGTGTAGCCAGAAACCAATGCTGGAAGCTCACAGTGTAGCTAACTATCATACAGTATCCAACCCTTCATAGTTAGTCAGACATCAAGTGAAGTTGCAAAGTGTTCCATCTCTTCTGGAGCTACTAGGAAAGTTAAACCAGACAGCATGGTTGCAATGCTTTCAGTATACTGATAATACCCAGCTCTCTCTGTCTCTCACTTGATGCAATCAGAGCTATTAAACACCTACCCCAACATCTGGAGGAGACAGACCGTGCTCCTCCATGCCTCAAACTGAAGCTCAATCAGGGTAAACATGAGAGAAAGCAAATGGGTTGGATGAAGCAACCCAAAGACATGGTACAAGTATCTTCCCCCACAGATAAGGGCACATATCTACCATGTGTTTTAATTATAAGAGTTTATAATATTGGGTTATTGGATTCCCCAGCTGCCGTTAGTTATATAGAAATAAAAAATAGTGCATGAATTTTATTTGTCTACCGAAGATACTGCAAGAATTTCTGACAGATGTAGAACTTGCTAAATATAATCCATGCCTTTGTCACCCTCAAAATTAGATTACCATACTGCACCCTATATGGGCTACATCTTAAATCAACCCTAAACTCACACTAGTGCAGTATAAACATGGCAGCCTGTTTCTTAAATTGCATTTCTTGGTGAAAATGTGTGAAACCAGTGCTCTGTTACCTGCCATGGCTGTGTATCAATTTGTGTGTATAGATTAAAAAGTAGCGGTTTTGAGCTATTAAGCCCTAACTGGCTTAAAGCTTGTCTGCTTGAGAGACAGTATCTCTCTTCCGCCCCCCAACTCTCTGTGCTATATTGCCACAACTCTCATGATTAGAGGCACTAAAAGCAAGAGCTCCCTTCTTTAAAAGAGGAGCTATCAGTAGAAAAGTTTCCAGGAGAGCTGTTCAGCATTGCACAACTTAATGTACAGGCCTGTTGGCCAGCAGGTCCCACTACAAGATTTATATGGGCTTTGCAGAATGGAGTGGCGGAAGCCTACATAGGGATAAGGAATTTGACACAGTATGCTTCAGTTTGTATATATTCTCCTTATTAATGCCTGAATGTAGTGAATAGAACTGGAAAAATGGCAATACCAAATTAGAAAGACAACAGTACCATTACCACCTATGCAGAACCTAATCTCCTTTTTTCACCTCTACATTGACCTTGAAGTTCACTACATAGCTGCATGTATTGGGACTTTGATCAGACTATGGACTTAATTCTGTATTCTCAAAGAAGTTTTAATTTGAGTTCTTATGTGAACCAGAATTAAATGCAAAAGCAGCTACATTTTAACTCAACCACTTGCATGTTACTAACAAGCTAGTGAGCATATCAAGTGGTACTTTTAAGAATGCAGAAAAACAAGTGTTTTTACCCCCTCCCCCCCTTTGGCTAACAATGCAATCCATCTGCCATACTACATTCTGTTATATTCCAACATTTAATAGAACAAAAATCCTACAGAAGCCTGAAACAAGACACTTGCCACAAAAGCAGTTGAGACTATCAACAGTTCTGTGCTATTGCTGATGAAGCAGTCATATGCCCATGTTTACAATATTTGGCATTCCTAGGAAATCCATACCCAAAATATAAAATTAATGCTGTTTTCAGTTACTATTTAGAACTTTCCTTTTTTTCCCCATTAAAGAGACAATTATATTTTTAAACCAAAAGCAAGCTAAAGTCCATTTGTCTAATAAGTCTTAGGACTTGTAATGATGTTGAAAAATCTTTTTAATGCTTTTAATTCACAAAAGCTAGAACATTTTTAAGTTATATTAAACACACTGAGGCTATGTCTACACTACAACCTATATCAGCAAAACTTATGTCACTCAAGGTTGTGAATATTTCTCCCCTCAAACGACATAAGTTCCACAGACATAATGCTGTACATACAAGCGCTTATGTCAGTGTGATAATGTCTCCCACTGACATAGCTTATGTCGCTTGCAGAGATGGGGTTTTTTATGCTGATGGGAGAGCTCTCCCCCATCAGCATAGAGTGTCTTCACCAGATGTGCTGCAGCAGCACAGCTATTTCAGTACAGCTGCGCCTCTGCAGCGCTGTTGCTGTACGGATAGACATCGCCTAAGAGTTTTGGTGCTGTTAAGACTTGGAAAGGAATTTTGTCTGTTTTATCATGGCCATAGATCTAGTCAAACAGAAAGACTCCAATTTCAGGAGTACTATTTTATCTAAATACTCTATCATCTGAGACATTGATAATATAGAATGGAAAAGAGGTTAAAAAAAGTCAATCAGCAATTCTTAGGTAATATGGAAGGTTATCTCCAGCCCTATCATCTAGTCCTTTCCTACATCAAATCCCTAATCAAGTTAGTTCCTCTTTCATAGTAATAGGACTATTCTTCTAGTTTAATTTGTGTCATCATCATGACTGCCAGGTTAAAAAAAAAAGTTTGCTCTCAGACCAACCTTGCTTTCTACAGACTAAATATCAGTTGTCTTGTATGCCTGAAAATTGAACTACTTTGGGAACACCTTCTAGGTCAGCAGTAGAATCACACAGCAGAGTAGTATGAAGAAGGGATCATGAAATATCTCATTGTGCTTTTCCCACGTCTATGACCGAATACATAAGGTAGTAAATGAAGAACATATAGAGATGTAAGAACACATGCTAGTCAAACCCTTTATTGGCTTTAAATGTACATAGTTTTATCTTGTAAGCAGGTCAAGAATTGGCTCCTTCTCCCAGCTCCCTGGCACCATGGTTCTTAGCAGGCTCTTTAGGCACCCCACAGTGGCATCTGCTCTCACCAGTACCCTCTCTCCATGTTGGAGAGAAGGTAGACAGTCCACATGGCATCACTAGGGAGAGGAACAAAGGAGTGGGAAGGAACAACCACACTGCCAGCCAGAGTAGCTGGTTCCTGGCCTGTGATGGAGAGCCAGCTCAAGAAACAACACAACACCTTACTACCCTGACAGTCCTATCTAGCTATTGCTAATGTATTTAGTTCCATAAATTCTAGGCACCCTACCTGATCAAAGATGCCTAATGTAGAAGTTCTTTCACTCCTCGTCCTGTTGGATTATTTCTATTGGTCTTTAAGCACTGGTCATGGCTCAGAACTCCCAACACACCTATACCTTCTCCCTCCACTGCTTCTGTTATTCCACCACCCAACACCCTCGCATGTATGCGCACACCCACCCTCCCACCTACCCGTTACAATTCCCTCCCAACCAGGACAATTGGAGATCCCTCACCCCACTCAAAAGAACCTTGAAATTGTGGATCATGGCTCAGTTTCTGATCAATGATATAGTTATAGTATGATAAATTTTAGGTTTTGTGTTAAACTTGTGTACTTTTAAATAACGTGAAAGGCCTTGAGCTTTCGATGGACACTGGAGAAACTGAAGTAATATTTGTGTAGCATATCTCCCATTTAAAGAAAGTCACCAATCTCTGACAAACTTGTTCTTCCCTCTGTATATTTTTCTCCACTCTATTATACTAAACTAGATTATAAAAATATAAAAAAACAACGTTCTATTTAGTAAGACATTTTTCTAAGTCTCATAAGGCCCATGTATGTCCATTTTACTTAATGGGTTGTGCAAGATTTGTCATGAATAAAAACTAACAAGTTAAAAGAATAAACAATAATTTCTTACTGTGTTCTAAACAAGCAAAGCTTAATGCTGGCATAAATATGCAAACATTTGTGCAGTTGTCACAAGCTAAGCAAGCACAGTATACATCACTAAATATTACAGCCAATAAGAAATACTGGATAAAAAAAAATGTAGAGACATATTTGCAAACTGTAATTTTGATTTATGAACACAGGGATTGCCATGCCTGATCAGAATATAAAATCTAGTATCTTTCCGGTGGCAATGACAACAACATGCCAAAAGAAAGGTGAAAAAAGTCTCAATATTTTTAACCAACTATACAATTAGGTACAAAATTGAGAAATACAGCCTAGAACAGGAGATTAAATTAACCTAATTTTAGCAAGTTTAACTACAAACATTTTTAAATTGTTACTACAAATCATTTATATAAAATGGTAAATGTACAGAGCATTTTGCAAACAGACTACGACATTTAAACAAGACACTCCAAAAGAGTTTGCAATTTAAGTCATGCAAGATACAATGAACTGCTGTTAGGTATTTGGTGCAGTAAGAATCAGGAAGCCAATGTAACAGCAGAAGTTAGAATGGGGAAGGGAATAGCATGATGTGGTTAGATATGGAAGAGGAAGATGACTAACAGCAGCATTTTGGACAAACTAAGGAAGAGGAGGTGGTGGTGAGAGGCAAGAACAGGTCAGAGTTATCTAGTATTTTTTTAATTTTATGTTAACTTACGTTCCATGCAACAATGGATCAAAAGGAGGATGCTGAGCTCCATACACATGTTGGATACTAAAGATAGAAAAAGAAGTCATCACAAATTTGACAATTAAAAAAAAATTCAGCAACTTCCTGTCTCAAAGAAGCATATAAACATATAAAAAGAGTTGTTGCTAAATATACCATTATAAAGAGTGAGCAAAAAAGTCACAATATATGGGAAGCAGGGTCATTGTTTCCATCGGGATTTCCATTAAAGCGTAAGCTCCTCGGGACAGGGGTTTTGTCTGAGCACAAAGTGTTGAGACCTATTTTTTTATTTCTTAAATTAAGAATTCAAATAAAAAAAATCTTTAATTTTGTTTTTCAACACTGCGAGTGCATGTTGCTTCTGAACCCCTTCCTTTTCCAATTAACCACATTCTTCATTCACCTCTCATTCAATCCTACAAAAATGCCTCAAAGAGATAATTGTAAAGAAGTTAAACATCCCTATTTCTGGAGGCATGGGTCATTTCCTTGTGGCCTTAGTTGCTACCTGATTAATGAGGTAATTTAACTATGTCTAAGCATCTTCTAACTTTCCTACAAACCCCCCAGATTTCCCCATAATATGGAATGTTTAACGGGTGGTTTAAGTATCTGATTTAGACTTAATCAGCATTAAGTCTGTAAGTCTCACCAGATGCCTTAGCACTACAGCTAATGGTAACTGATCTAACATACCACATGTATTACAGTAACTAAATGGGTTGAGAAAGTCTTAACATAAAATTCTATTGATTTTTCATTTTGTCATAGCATTTTAAAGAGTTTGCTTTTTAAAAAGATACAGAACACAGTATTGGGTGCCATATTATCAGCTAGCTAGAACTCATATTCAATGTCATTTCAGTCAATCTGCAATTGCTCCAAACCAGAATAAAAGTGTTACATCATAAGCTACAATATGGAGATATACAGTACATCTACACCACAATTAAAAATTAAAACCCCACAGCTGACTGGGATTCGGGCTAAGGGACTGTTCGGGCTCAGGCTGGAGCCCGGAATCTAGGATTCTGTGAGTTGCTCAAACTTCTAGCCTACCATTAAAACAGCCCCTTACAAGCCCCACAAGCCTGAGTCAGCTGGCACAGGCCAGCCCATCAGTGTCTAATTGCAGTGTAGACACACCAACAGTTAACATGTATCATGTACTTTATAAACAATTTACATGATGTTAGACAATTACATCATGCATCATCATAAGGGCTCCTTTGTAGTCATGACGGTACATAAGGTCAATCAGTTCAAGACAGACACAGTATGCAAGATGGCATGCATTAGAGAACAAAAACAATGGCAATGCCATGAAATAAATAGGTTTGTAAGTACAATTTCATGTTCAACATCCTTATTGAGGTTATAAAAATGTTACTATGTAAGAAATAATAAGATTTGTCCTTCTCAAAATAAAAGTAAATTTACTTGCAAGTTTCAACCTGACAAACACCTACTAAAATTAAGATTAAAGAGGTGGTGCTTATAATGTAAATACTGACACAGGCTTTCATAGGGGTAGGCAATCTATGGCACGCGTGCCGAAGGCGGCACGCGAGCTGATTTTCAGTGGCACTCACACTGCCTGGGTCCTGGCCACTGGTCCGGGGGGGCTCTGCATTTTAATTGAATTTTAAATGAATCTTCTTAAACATTTTTAAAACCTTATTTACTTTACATACAACAATAGTTTATTTCTATATTATAGAAAGAGACCTTCTAAAAACGTTAAAACGTATTACTGGCACGCGAAACCTTAAATTAGAATGAATAAATGAAGACTCGGCACACCACTTCTGAAAGGTTGCCGACCCCTGGGCTATCCTATTGTAGCATGAACATACTCATCTTAATGCTATATGTTCACAAAGAATGCCATACTTGCACTTAAACTACTTTCTCATGGCACAGTTCAAAACCCAAAATGCAATAAAAGTGACTTTAGTGATATTTGACAAAAGTAAATAAAGTATTGTTACTCGCCCTCTTACATAACACAGCCAGAGTAGATTGTAAAGTACTAATATTGTTACAATCATTCTTCTAAAGCAGGACCAAATGAGTGGCCATGGGCAACTGGAATTTTTCCCAAAAAACTGAAGAAACTCATGGATATCTGCCCTGTTCCACCTCATGTTCCATATCTACATGAGCTCATTTGGAGATGCTATGTGCCTTGCTTTCAACAACATGTCTATGACACACAGCTGTCTCACACCTATTAGACACACTAAAAGCTCTATATGAAACTTACAAGAGAGCAACTCCTGGATCAAGAACAGCTAGCTCAAACTAAACCCAAGAAAGACTGAAATAATGCTGGCTGGAAGGAGGAAACACCTCTTAACACCTACTCAAGACCTTCTGCCGACGTGCATGGGCTGAAATTGTGGAAAAGCAGCATCACTTGCCCCATAACCTCAGCTGTGCAGAACACAATGCCATCCACAGCCTCAGAAACAACTCTGACATTATAATCAAAAAGGCTGACAAAGAAGGTGCTGTAGTCATCATGAATAGGTCAGAATATGAATGAGAGGCTGCTAGGCAACTCTCTGACACCACATTCTACAGGCTGTTACCCTCTGATCCCACTGAGGGTTACCAAAAGAAACTACAGTACAGACCCATTTACGCACGGATGTAGGGAGTCAAGCCGTCATGACCGCGTGTTAATGGACCGCGGGTTAAGAGGGCCATGCTGAAGTACCTTAAGATATATATATATCTATACACACACACACACGTACAATTATCTAGGATTACATACATATTCACAGCATCCCAAATAGTGCAGGCCTATCTGTTAACAGTACTTTGCAAGAATATAAATTCAAATGTGTAATCTAATTAAAACATTACTACTACTACTACTACACAGGGGTGAAAGTAACTCAGGACACTTACCGGTATGGGGTGGTGGCAGCTCTGGCCCCCGGAAGGGGCGGGGCCTCAGTGGAAGGGATGGGGCGGGGCTAGGAGTCAGCATCCCCCAGCCAGCCCTTCCAGGCCTCCTGGTCCGCACTGCCCGGAACTCCTGTGGCAATTTAAAGGGCCCAGGGCTCCAGACGTCGCTGCTGTGGTAGCGGCATCTGGAGCCACGGGCCCTTTTAAATCGCCGGCCCCGGGGCAGCTGCTCCCTTTGCCCTCCCCCCCGCCGTCGGCGGCCAATGGGGGGGCAAAAGGGGCAGGGACCTTAAAGCACTACAGGGTCCTTTGCCGCGGCAGCACTTTAATGTCCCTGTCCTTTTTGCCTCCCCCGTCGGCGGCCCTGCTGGTAGGGTCCCTACCAGCAGGGCCGCCGACGGGGTGGAGGGCGAGGGGGAAAAGGGGCAGCAACGTTAAAGCGCTGCCTCGGCAGCGCTTTAAGGATGTCCTTTGCCACGGCAGCGTTTAATGTTGCTGCCCTTTCCGCCCCATTGGCCGTAAAGACGTACATGTTTCCGCTCCATACTTCCTGTCGATTTCTAGGTCAGTGAGTTAGTGAGCAAATCTGTAGCGCTACATAGGAACTTCCCGTACCGCATGTTAACGAGTCTCGCATGTTAAATAGGTAGCACTGGGAGGCATGGCACTACCGCGCGTTAAGCGGATTCGCACGTAAATGGGTTGTGCGTAAATGGGTCTGTACTGTATGTCATCTGCTCAAGAAACTCCCTGAAGAAGCACAGGAACAAATCTACACAGACATCCCCATAGAGCCCCAACCAGGGGTATTTTATCTGCTACCCAAAATCCATAAACCTGGGAATCCTAGATACCCCATCATCTCAGGCATTGGCACCCTGACAGCAGGACTGTCTGGCTATGTGGACTCTCTCCTCAGGCCCTATGCTACCAGCACTCCCAGCTATCTTTGAGACACTACTGACTTCCTGAGGATGCTACAATCCATTGGTGATCTTCCAGAAAACGCCATCCTAGCCACTACGGATGTAGAAGCTCTCTACACCAACATTTCACACAAAGATGGACTATAAGCCATCTGGAACAGTATCCCCGATAATGTCACGGCAAACCTGCTGGCTGAACTTTGACTTTGTCCTCACCCACAACTATTTCAGATTTGGGGACAATTTATACCTTCAAGTCAGTGAGATTGCTATGGGTACCCACATGGCCCCACAGTATGCCGACCTTTTTATGGCCGACTTAGAGCAACGCTTCCTCAGCTCTCTTCCCCTAGCGTCCCTAGTCTACTGCGCTACATTGAAGACATCTTCATCATCTGGACCCATGGGAAGGAGGCCTTGAGGAATTCCAGCAGGATTTCAACAATTTCCACCCTACCATCAACCTCAGCCTGGACTAGTGTACACAAGAGATCCACTTCCAGGACACTACAGTGCAAATAAGCGATGGTCACATAAACACCACCCTATACCAGAAACCTACTGACCGACTTACTTACATATATGCCTCCAGCTTTCATCCAGACTACATCACACAATCCATTGTCTACAGCCAAGCTCTAAGATACAACGGCATTTGCTCCAATCCCTCAGACAGAGGCAAACACCTACAAGATCTCTATCAAGCGTTCTTAAGACTACAATTCCCACCTGGTGAAGTGAAGAAACAGATTGACAGAGTCAGAAGGGTACCCAGAAGTCACCTACTACAGGATAGGTCCAACAAAGAAAGTAACAGAACGCCACTAGTCGTCACCTGCAGTCCCCAAATAAAACCTCTCCAGCGCATCATCAAGGATCTACAATCTATTCTGAAGGACGATCCCTCACTCTCACAGACCTTGGGAGACAGGCCAGTCCTTGCTTACAGACAGCCCTTCAACCTGAAGCAAATACTCACCAGCAGCTACACAACACACAACACTAACCCAGGAACCAATCCCTGCAACAAACCCTGTTTGCCAACTCTGTCCGCATCTCTATTCAAAGGACACCATCATAGGGCCTAACCACATCAGCCACACCATCAGGGGCTCGTTCACCTGCACATCTACCAATGTGATATATGCCATCATGTGCCAGAAGTGCCCCTCTGCCACTTACATTGGCCAAACTGGA